AAAAACTATGTCAGTATGACTTCATTGATAACTGAAGGATTTGTTAAAGGCAAGACAGTTAAGGACAACAAACATAATATGGTTCAATACAATTCACAGTACAGAAATACAGCCCTTTAAATTAATCAAGAACCACCATGTATCAGTGCCACAGGTGAACCAACCCACATTTAAATTAATATAGAAATCAATGTGAGGAGCTATACTAGACAAAACATTCAAATATCTAAATTTTTCAGTTTTCTTATTTGTATCATAAACCTTTAATTCTAAATGTTTGCAACACATCAGTTTTTTTAAGTACAGCATAGTTTTTAAATTAATCCTACTAGCAGCTGTTGGGAAGCAACTACAGTACGTGCTATTACAGTGATATTGTCATGAATTATAAATTGACTTCTTACTATTTTATATAACAGTTCTCCAGCTCACCTCCAACTCATACATAGATGAATGCAAACAGATTGCATACAACGAAAACATAAATTAATTCTATGATGGACCAGTGAATAGAGCCTGACAAAAACAAAGCAATAATACTGTTTAATAGAATGCACAAACCCAAACAGTATGTATTTAGAGAGACCAACACTGTGCCATTTTTCCATCCCACATTGCCCTAGTTTATGGTGCCAAGCTTCCTCCTAGAATTAATCAATAAGACACAATACTAATCGCTAATGAAGAGCTAGGTTTTGGGAGATCAAATAATACCATAAACAAGCCTACTTTTTATGCTTCCTCAGCACAGTTAGCACAGTGAAAAGGCCCTGAAATGGATTGCAATGCTACACAATGGCACTCTGGTCTGTTTCCCTGCTTGACCTTTCAGATGAACAGCAGCTTACTGGAAAAAGAACATTACATTTATGCAATATAAAAGCGAGTGAAATGGATCACAGTCATTTCATTTTTATTTTTGCTTCTGTGCTTTAAGACATTTTTGGATGCTGTAGAAGATATCCTCTGAACACTCCCACATGCTTCTTGAAAAAACAAAACCCAGATGTGTTTGATACACAAAACTCCAAAAACACCATTCACAAAAATTTCACAGAACTAACATTTCTTAAATGAGTTACCTCACTAGGACTTTCAAATTCCACTTGCTAGGATGAATGAGCAAATGTCACTGTTTGTCACTAAAGCCTAGTTTAACAAAACCAGGGTCTACAGCGACTGCAGTGGGAATCTGTCCACCTGTTACCTGAACACACAATCCACACAACGCTGGCCTGAACCTCCTGATCTTTTGCTCAGGACCCTCTCGCAGTACTGCCTCCCCGTCCTCCCCCCCTCGTCATCGGTGACAAGCCCTGACAATTTTTAATGTACTAACTGCCTGCTTCACTGATCTGATTAATCGGGCCCTCGGAGATCAATAACAACAGAAAATTAAAACAATTTAAAAGGGATTAAGCAGTTGAGCAGCTGTCTCCTGCCTGGGCCAGAGGCAGAAGAAAAATCAGCCAAGTGTCGAGGGGGTCTCAGGCGTGACGCAGCGCTGCCCCCCGTTATGAAATATCTTCCCCTAAAGAGCCGATTAATCTTCCCGGCAAAGTGATCCTCATTTAATGGGACAGACCTGTCCCTTTGACCAGCCCAGGGAGGGCCGCTATTAGAGAGGGGCTTATGCACGCTGTGAGGCCTGTCCACCGTCAGCTCAGCCCTGCACCGAGATGTTGCTGTGCTTAAAGTAAAGGGCTTATCAGCAGGTTGCAGGCTCAAACCCTGATGCTTCCGCTGAAAAAAACACATTTCAAACTCTCTCAACTGAGAGAGATACTTTGTTGAAATAAGTTGATACTTATTTTAACCCCGTGTCTCTGTATATCTCAAGAAAAAAAGTATTTTAAACGACTGATTACATTACAGTGTTGTGTATTATAATTATATTGTAAGTACTGTAATCTGAAAAAAACTCTTTTAGAATAAGATAGTAAATCCAGAAAAGAACCTGTTAATAACTGAGGATACTTGCCTGCCCAACTCCTTCATATTTAAAGCATTTTTCAATAACTTTTTTACAGCAATGAGAAACATTTTTGACACTACTAAGCGTCACAGTTTGAAGAAATATAAAGAACCTCTTTTATAAGAGCGTATAGCTTGATCAACCTTTGCCCGTACTGTTGATAGAAAAACAAACAAGAGACGGAGACCGAAAGTAAACACAAGAAAAACCAAAATGCTACAAGATGGGTATAATAACAAATTAAAAATGAAGGTATTCTAAAATAATTACATAAAAAGGAAATATCATGATAATAAAGCAAGAGGAGTGTTTACATTGGACTCTGAACAAACCCTTCTTGTTCAGCTCTTTCAGAGAGCAGACCCAGAAGAAGGGTTCAGTTCTGAATCCAAACCAAAAGAGCTCCCAGCAACTATCTTCTCCCCCGTGACCTATATCATTTACATTAGATTTAGTTCACCTACAGTAGCACCCTCAACACTACTCACTGTGATGAATCAGTGTTCCATACACTTTGAGAACAAACAATTGTTACCCACAGTATAAACAATGCATGTTATAATGCATTGGGACTGCTCTGATCAGGAAGTGTGTACAGAATGCATACTGTTCAAAGATCTGGGAGAACTAAGCCTGTTAGCTGTTGTACATCATTTAAGATGACAACCACCAGGCCTTTCATGCTACAGAATATTAAAAAAAACTGTGCAGCCTCATTGTTGCTTCCCAGTGCATTCCAGTTTGATGGTACTGTTGTTTTTTCTCTCTTTTTCAAAACACATGTGTGGATTCCCCTATTCCATCAGCTCTCATGCATTTGTATTTCTATACTCAATCTACATGAAACAACACCAAGAGTGAATGGACAGCCATAAATGGTTGGGGCTCCATTAGATCAAAAAGAAGATGTCGTTTTATTTGGAATAAATTGACATTAGGGGACATGCCTACATTGCCTCTATAAAGATAGCAGTTCTTGACATTTTCTCAGATTTTATCCTCACAGTGATATCACTACACACACACACACAGACCCTTAACTTAAACACACACTTGCCCGCTCACCGATCTTAATCCATCACCCGGTGCACAGTTTAATAAAAATTTATTGACTTACAAGTGATTTTTTATCAAAACACCATTTGTACCGGGGAGCTGAGACCCCCTCCCCCGCGCGCTCAGAGCCCTGGCCCAGAGCAGTGAGCCGCGGATCTGCAGCCGAAGGGAAACGGATTGAAAATCAATGCTGGCGGCACGGGCAAAATGAAAATGAGAGGGAGAGCCAGGGCCGATGCCTTTGGGCCCCCGGCCTGGAAGTGGCCAAGCACTGTCCTAGCTGTCCACTACTCTTCTCTCACTTTATTTATTGTTTACGAATGAAGAAAATCAATACTTTTAATCTAGAGTTAAATTTATTAACTTTACCCCTCCCCCCCCACCACAGCACCCCATCCTAGCCCTACACACCCCATACTGTCCTCAAGAGACGCATCGACTCCCAGTCCAGAATCAGCACCGAGATTAATGGGATCACTTAACCTTTACTATGGGAAAGCAGCTTCAACGGTGTGCCAGTCAGAGCCTCAAGGACAGCACAACCAACCACAGGGGCTGAGGCAAACTGGTCTGACAGCTCCTGCAAGCATCTCTCCTCTCAACGCCACTAAACCTCAACCTCTACATCCTCTGGTGCGGCCCTCAGTATAACAGGATGTTATATTGTCCCTCTTAGAAATGATACATTGTTGAAATAAAACTGAAAATTACTGGGCAATATTAAATTATTTTTTAAGGAAATGTATTATAAGCTTATTGCATTATACTGTATTACACAGTAAGCACTGGCAGCTCCTACAGTATTTGGCACAGTATTGAAGGCCAGAGAAGAACTCAAGGCAACACGAGCCTGATGGAGATACTGTCCATGATTCAAACTGATCCTTACAGTGCCAAACAAGCCCCTAACTAGAGGAGAAGGAAATGAGAGTCAACAACAGTGGGAAGAACAGACAGTGCCTCCATTTTCGGACTTCAGAAGGTTGTCCCTCTCCTCAAAGTATATACTGTACAGCTTGCTGATCACAGCAACTGATGCTGCAGCTGAAACTGTGTGCCTTTGACCTCAGTCCCTGAACTTGACAAAGATCCACTCAACAATTCGGGGTCTTAATGTCAGTGAGGGGCGATTGATAATTCAACTATAAGAGGCAGTGGTGACCGAGGAAGAGGAGGACAGCACATCCAGACACATTCAGAAGGGGTAAAAAAAATTCCTCTACAACAAACTAAAATCACAAGCGTGAAACATTTCAATTGCTACTACAGGAAAATTGTGTTGGAATCAAACATGTTGCAATGCAGCAAATTTGTTTCTTGTGAATACATTCCTTTACCTTGTTTTTCAACATACAAGTTGAGAAACTTTGCACCTCTAGTAGTGAATGATGACCATCATTTTCATTAATTCAACCAGTGAAGAAAATTTGGTTTTAAAGATCAAATGTGTATAATTTGTTAACAGTGCTGCAGATAGTGTTTACAGCATTTAGAACACTTTCACTAATGTATTTCTTCACCTTCAGTAATGCACAGAATTTTGAAATAAAGAAAAATAATGTGGTAAGTGACTAAGCGATAATTAAATCCACTGTACCAGTTTGGATATTCAATATGTTGTTTTTGGGACATGCACTTGGGAGGAAGATTGTTTAAAAGCCTTGCATTAATTTTAATGTTGAATGTAAACAAGGGAACAGTGTTCAATGAAACAGCTCTCAAGTACAAGCACGCGCCCTGATGAAAGATGAGACCCAGGATGCTTGGCTCAATGACTGGGTGTAAAATCCCAGTGCCACTCAATTTTCAAGATGACTTGCTCCGATTTGCCCGTGGAGGGCAAAAGCATGTGATCTTTTCTTCGTACGTACAGAGCCACCATCCCGGAAGACAAATCGTTCTGATACAAATGCTGCAGAGAGACGTGCCATACTGGAATAGGTCAGAGGTGCGTGTGAGAGTGGACACACCTGTGCAGAGCTATTTCACAGAGCCGCACATACCCTCACTACACTTTCTTATGCTTTTTTACAACTCACAAACTCTGTCTATGGAGTTTCTTGAGGGGCAGAGACTGCCACATGTTGCCATCTTTCATTAGCCGTAAGCAATTAAAAGTACTGTATGATTTTGGTCATATTATCAACTCATTTAAGAACTACCAGTTATCCTATAGTAGCCAGCATATCTTAAGAAGCAGGAGTAGGGGAGGAAACCAGGGTATGAATATTATAGAACATGCAAACTCCAAACACAATGTGCTTCAGTCAAGATCTGAACACAGGCCCCTAGAGCTGCAAGACAGCTAGCTAACTGCCACATCACTATGGAGCTCAAAAACGTAATTCAATTATTCAAAATCCTTAAAAGCACTGACAAAGCAAACGCGATGCAACCAACGGACTCAGAATGAAAGGCAAAACATGAGTCAGAGTACACAGATGGAGACCTAGGGAAAGTTCAAATACAGCTGAGAGCTTTTTACAAAATAATTAAAGGAATCTGTAACAAGTTACTTAAAAGGCCAAGTTGTCTATGTCAGTACCCGGGTTTCGTTCAAGAAACTGCTAGCTGAGATCTTGAGATTTATTAACAGCTAATGAGTTGCACAGCTACATGAGCTACATAGCTTGGATTGCATCTTCGTGTTTGCAACTTCTCCTATATTCTATGACAGCTGCAGATACTGTAAATACTCTTTATATACAGCTGTTTTTTTTAGTTTAGGAAACATCAATCCTTAAATTATCTACTGCAGTTGAACGTTTAAGACATTACAAAAAAATCTAAATTCTGTGTCTGGAACCACATAGAAATATTAAGACCATCACCTAACGGCCAGATTAAGAAACAGAACCCAACCTCGCCCAGCAGGCAGAGTGGACTCATGAGCTAGCAGAAGACTCCACCTGGTGTTGAAGAGCAGGCATAACAACTCAAGGGTTTCAACCTGTAAGGAACTACGGCAGCACACCTGTGTGTTAAAATTAACCACGCTTTCAAACGATGGACAGCACAAAGAGAAATCAGCATTGACCAATAAAATACTTGACTAAAAAAAATAAATGCAAATTTCAGGACATCCCAGTCTTCGCAATGTTAGTGCTTCATTTTCAGTCTAAACTGGAGGACTCACCGTGAAGCGGTCAATGGCCTTGAAGTTGGTGTCCACATAGATACAGACCCTGTCAAAATCTCTCATCTCTTCGCTCGACTCAATGTCCCTAAGAAGGAAAGGAATGTCATGTATTGGCAGTAGTCAGAGCAATCATGAGACTTCAGTGTGGGGAGATTAGAGCCAAGGAATTCTTAAACTCCCCCCTCCCCCTGCATGTCCTCGTTTGGCATGCCCTGTTGCTAGTCACACAGCACCCAATGCCTCCTGCCAGCCAAAGACACTGCTTCAGCAACCCAAGCCATCACTCAACCATGTAAAGAGCTCAAAGCCCAAGATCAAAATTTATTAAAAAAGGGTGTATATATGTGAGATCTGTTTTTAACATTGCAATGTAGGTTTGATAAGACAGTTTTTAATCCACAAATCAGGACCCCGCTCTCAGCAATCCCAATTTACAGTCTGAGAGGGCTGCAGTGTGGCCATAATTGACTAAAAGGAGCTCATTATTAGCTTAATTGGACCAATGTGTAGCGATTCAAAGATCTCCCCAGTTATCGCAGGATCTAGCAAACTAGAAACTAGATTCTGGGACTTGAAGACTGGAGTTGTACACGTATGCTGTACAGATCTTGCAGATATGTGCAGTTGTTTTCAATTGACCTCAAAGGGTGTCCAGTGAACAGAAAGGCATGTGATGTGAAAAAAATGGTATCTGCTACGGACTCCTGACTACATCCTTTACTGCAGCTGATGACATCCACTTTGTCAGCAACTTTAATACTCTGCAACTCATAAGTGGCAACCCACTGAAGATCTTCAGGTGTGAGCCTGGCCAGTACCTGCACAGGAACCCTATTGGGACAGTTAAGGTTGCTGCTGGAAGAGGTGTTAGTGGGGCCAGTAGGGAGCACTCACCCTGCAGTCTGTGTGATCCTTATGCCCCAGTATATGGACACTATAGTGTAAAAAGGGCACTGTGCATGGGCATTCCTGGGCGTTTCTCAAAAACAGTAGGGGTGCAACCCCGGTGTTCTGGCCAGATTTCCTCCTGGCCTTTTCCATTCATGGTCTCCTAATAATCCCCATCTATTAAGTGGCTTCATCACTCTGTTCTCCTCCCCACTGATAGCTGGTATGCGGGGAGCGTTCTGGCGCACTGTGGCTGTTGTTGCATCATCCAGGTGGATGCTACACACTGGTAGTGGTGAAGGGGAGTCCCCATTACCTGTAAAGTTTTGAGTGGAGTGTCCAGAAAAGAGCTATACAAGTATAAGAAATTATTACTTATTATTAAATTGAAAGTTCAGTCAGAACGCCCTTTAACAACAGTGAAGGAGGAAGCTGTGGACAATCTTCCTGTTTTCTGGGATGACTAGTCCTAGCTCTGTTTCCCATGTGAAGAGTGTAGACAAATCCCTTCACTTCCTGTGTCCCACAAATGGACGATGATTATAAATATCATGTCATCCTTAAGGCAGAAAAAGGAGGAAATCCTGAAGGGGAATTATTTAAATGTACAAAAGAAGATGGCGATACACTGGCCGCAATTTCCATGCAGATCCTACCGGAAGAAGTTTTCAACCTGGCCCATGTTACGCTTGTAATCCTTCCCTCCCACTTCCTGGAAATGCAGGGCGACGAAGCGAGGCTTGTAGGTGTGGACGGTCTGACGAGAGACAAGAAAGAGAGTTACATCTTCACATTCCTGCTCTACTGCCACCTGCACAGGCTATGCAACCCGTTTCATCAGGGAAGAAGGAAACCAAAGAAAAATTTCTGAAACCCCAAGACCGTGCCGAAGAGGAACAACAGACCGTGCAGGGTCACTGAGCAAAAACACACAGCAAGCTACCCAAAAGGAAACATTAGACGCATTAGAAGGGTTTCTACCTTTGACTAGGGCGGCTGCCAACACACAATCTGCAGACACCAATTCTTCTTAGGAGAAACGCATGCAGTCTACTGACAAGAGCTGGGAAGTGGAGTGGAAAAGGGCAGCTTGGGTCTATGCTATTAACAATCCAAGTGTACTCAAATTGTTTATGGGCAAATGCAGTCAGCAGACTGTCTGCAAAAGTGAAGGGTAATGTTGAATTATATGGGCTTAGTGTAATTAGCGGCAGAGTAAATTTACAACGTTCAGGTGTATCTGTGGACATTCCTGTACAAGTGGTGTAAAATAAATATGTATTGGTAGACACCTGTTATGTAATGTTATATTTATTTCTGATGCAACCTTTACTAGTACTGTTGGTGCGTTTCGTAGGTTTCAGAGTAAAACAAGGCTGCTTTGATGCAAAACTAATTTCTGAGAAACTTAATAGACAATAATAGTATTAATGTTTGGCAAACACCAAGATCACAATAGTCTGCATGCCTTTCTTTTCATTTGGACATGGGTGTAAACAGCCCACAACGGATGCTGAACGCTAACAAATTCCCTCACACCTAACTTGAATCACTGCTGAAATAATAAGGACTGCAAATAGCTGTGGCAGAAAACCTGGCTAGGGTTCTCCAACAGCTTTTGAATCCCGCTGTCAAATAAACACTTGTTCCTGAATGTGAAAAATTAAACATCCTTGGGAATTTTATAAGAGTCTGCATTTAAAATTGTTACTTGTACAGAAATGTGATGGAGCACCTCTAATAAAAACTTTTAAATCTAATGCAGTGTCTCTTTTTTAATACATGGCATAAATGAGTATTTTCAGTCTTTTCAATCCTGAAATTCTCCCACAATTAACTAGAAAGAAATCAGTAAAGAACATTAATCAAATTTACAGCGTTTCTAATTTAAAGTAAAAGAATTGTAGGCTGTGTGAATTTTAATTAGGCAATATATGCTGCCCTCATGTGGACATAATATGCACTTATTCCTGGAGCACAGCTACTGTAAATATAAAGGTGAAGGAATATGTTTTGCAAAATGTTTCTACACATTAATATGCAGAACATGTGCTGCTGTATAGTCATTTTTATCTAAAACAAATATAAAATTCTAATGAAAACACTGTGAAATAATGGCTTTTTAAAAAGATTAAACATACTTAAAAACAGTATTTTGAAACTGCTAACCACACTCCTGGGTTTAAACATTTAAAATTAAATCCACCAAAAAGTGGAAAACATCAGACCTTTTACTTGAAGGTGGAACCCAACGTGGAGAATGTGAAGAAAAAAAAACCTTTTCAGAAAGCCACCATTGGCTACAGAAGCAATCAGTGAACAGTGCATGGGTCTGTAATCAACATCTATCCAGCAGTAGATTAACATGAGAATCAGGATAAGTCAACACAATTGAACAGATCAGGATAAGAGTTGAGGCTGTAGACTTAAAAGTACTCAGTTGCTTTTCTTTACATGTATAGTTTTAAGGCTTTGGCTGGAATAAAAGCACCTGGATTACACAAGGCAGTACTACTGCTGTCAACCACCACAAAAACTAAAGTGGCACAATAAAAACATGGGTTTGTTTCAAACTGCAGCATTACAGAGAACACCGATGCCAGAGCCAGCAAAACAGCAAACAGTATCCTCCTATAATCTTTACCCCCACTGGAATTAAAACACTGCAACAAAAATAGCTTCTTTTTTTTAAAAAAAAAGGGTCAATTAAATCCTTGGATCAATGAGAACAAGATACCCAAGAAATAGCTGAATAAGTTATTTGAATAACTGGGCTAGATGGAACTAACTGCCTACTGGGCTTGGTGGGGCAAACAGCTTCCTCTCGTTTTTAACATTCTTTTGTTCTAGAAGAACAGAGTACATCGACAAGGGATGTTCCACCTTGTACTTCCGAGAACCCACCTTAAAAAACTCCCGGAGCCAGTCACTCTGGATCTCTCTGAGCTGGGGAGAAGAAAAAAAGACAAGAGCTGCATTCAATACCGTCAAGGAAACACAAGGAAAAGCAGAACAAGGCAGCAGCTTTCTTTTTTTGTAACTCATCCTTGTCACTTACTGAGCAGGATAGGGGTCACTTAAAGCCAGACTTAATGGTGCAGCTACAAATATTAAAACACATTTTAATATTTATCAATCATTTCATTCCACGCTTCAGGAAGTGATATTTGGCAATGGTGTCAAGGGATATGAAAGGAAATGGGGAAACTGAGATACAGTTGTTAAATTAGAACACCTTAGATTTTTTTTTTTAATTTTCTGGAAAAAGATACAGGGAATTGTTTTTTAGCAAGTGCTTTTGTGGATAAATATGTGACGACAAATAGCTTTACACAGTGTTGTTTTTTGTTTGTTTCTGGCATGGTACAGTATGTAAATTTTTGGTATAGGGCCTGGTGCACAAACAAAAGGAAAATCTAAAAACAAAACCTATTTTTGGGGTCAAATAAATGCCTTAACCATTATTTTTTAGAAGAAGGTCAGAGAACTTAAACAGATCTTCAATGCAGAGTAGAGAAACAAAACAACAACTCCATAAAGCTCTGGAAATGATCCACTCCACAGTTTTAGAAATCTGTCTTTTCCAAAAAAAGTTGTTCTGTTCCACTGCTGTTTTTTTTTTTTGCACATTGTCACAAAATGGTCAAAATGCCATCCCCAAACAATACATTGGTACATAGTTTGTTTTCATACTGTACGTATATTTTTACCAAATTATACCCAGATTTCCAATTAATTTTACACCAGTGTGAAGGAAAATGCATTGGGAGAGCACAAGAGGGCGCTACGAAATCGGGCAGGTAGTTGTCCCCTTACTGCTTCCTTATATTTCAGGATCAAATGTTTTTGTAGTATAGTGAGCAAGTTAGCTCTGATACAAGCACTCAATTAAAAGTCCATTTTTCCCTTCCTTCTTTGGGACCACTGCTTTTGGAAACAGGAAAGTATATTCGTTTAGTAGATATTTAGAATGATACATGTTTGCATAGGACTGCTTAAGCGTAGTATTTCAAGGCCACGGGAAAGCCCTTAACACAGGTAGTACAAGTTACACCCTGGACAGGACTTCAGGCAATGCGCATGGCGCAGAAGTGCACACACTCACACCAAGGACCAGTTTGTCATCAGAAGCCTACCAACCTTTCTTATAACTATTACCTACCAACATGTCTTCGGACATTCGGATGAATCTGGAGCACACAAACACAAAGAGAACTCCACACAAACAGCACCCCAGGTCCAGAACTGAACCCAGGTTAGCAGTGCTTTGAGGCAGCAATGCTAACTACTGTGATACTGTGTCGCTTGTTTGTTCTTCAATAAACATTTAATACATCCTTAAAATGTTTTACATTTCAAGAATTTTTCTTTCTCCTCTTACTGCTTTTCATTTATTACATGCAATTTAAAATAAATAAATATATATAACAATATACAATCTTTATCTATGTACATTAAATAAAAACTTACTTTTGATATCAATATTAATAAAAGAATAACAAAAAGCAGTGACAAATGTAAGGGATGTAAGAAAGTCACCCTCTTACATTCTGTTCAATTGTAAATATGGTAATTGTCTATATAATATTAGTGCATAATGAAAATCAATTCAGCATAAAGCAAACGAACAAGCACAAATAAATGACATGTATATTAGCTATAAGCGTATACTATGGTCTACCACTAACCCTTAAATCATGTTTGTCAAGACCTGGAACACACTTTTGATCCACTTAGTAAATTAAATTGATTCGTGTAACTCAGGACCAGCACCATTGCAGGCCTCGGGAGCTATAGGGTGTTGATATTTTCATTTCAAATAACCCCTAAGTACTCAAAAGCAAAGCATTTACAAATTGAGGACTTAAGGCTGAGTTGTAAAACCCACTTGATTTTGGGTCCCCAGGACCAGAACTGTCATATAAATCAACCTGTGTGTCATACCACATTTTTCTATAGTGAGAATCAGGCATTTTATTTTTAAATCATTTCTAAGAAGTGATAGATAATACGCATCAGCAAAATGCTTTTGTTCGCAAAGAAAGCAGCTTTCCTTTTTCCCCCAAACCACTCTGCAATTAAAAACAGCATATCCCTCAAACAATCCCAGCTCAGATCTCCACTTTTAGGTCTTTTAAGGACTTTCACTGCAACGATGACATACATTCCTAAAAACATTACCATGACCACAAATGTTGAAATACCCATAAGTGGAGCAAATATTAAATACTACAGTTTTATCTTTGGTATCTAAAGCAAAATGGAAATATTAAATAAGGCCCTTGTTATTTTAAAGAGTAACTCGATCTAATTACACAGAATATATAGTATAATTATAAGGAAGAGGGGAGCAGACCTGCAGAGGCAGATAAGTACAGCCACTGTCAAAGCTAGTTATGCAAACAGTCGGAGTGGAACTTTCTTTTCCATAACATTATCATGACCGAGCAGCCAAACTGTAGCTCTGCCCCCACCAAAAAAAACAAGGAAGCACTCGAGATACAAATGTGACACAATTCAGAATTCCCAGCAACTCCTGTGCCGATGTGAAATTCTGTCCTTGTGAAAGGACTGGGTTACTGTCTTGCAGAAGCTGTGTGTGAGGTTATTATATTCCATTGATAAGAACAAATGACTGCTTACAACATTATTCATATTTTCTTCATTTTTTCTTAAATGTTAATAGGCTTTAAAAACTAAAAGTGCTAAATGTAAAAGTTATATTTATGGAGGTAGTGTGCTCAGAGTGAAAATATTTTTTCTATATAATGTCAATTACAATATAAAAGATTTTACTTCATATTCCTCAAAAACTACATGATGCCATGTACAGTACTGTGCAGCTCTCCAAAAAATAATTAAAAGGTAGCTCTCCGCCCCACTTTTAACAGTCATCTGCAGGTTCAGCTCTCTATAGATCTTCAAGAAGCAGAACCAGCTTTTAACTGACAGAGGTTTCACCTTCTCCCTCTCCAGACTGCTCTTCCGCACTTCCTACACACTACAGCCAAGGTGGTCAAGTCCAGATCTAGACTCCGATGGGGTTCTTGAAAGGCTCAAATCAGGAAGCACACTCCATTACACTAACAAGTGAAGAACGAAGGTGAACTAGAAAGCCTCAAGTTAAAATGGGCAGCTGTGTCCGCATGTGGAGGCTGCAAACCCGAAGAAGGCTCCACAGCACAAAATGTCTTTTCTTTTCAGCATGGAATTTTTACTTTACTTGTTCCTTTGCAGTGTCAAGTTAAATTACACTCCACAAATAAAATGCAATCCCGTGCAAAACTTGTGATCTAATCTAGTATTCAATCAGTTTGCTGTCAAAAGCTGCCTGCTACCTGCCTCTTTTCTAGGGATTAGCAGGAGACACTGTTTAAAGAGTAGGAAGCAGAAAAACACTCTGATTTTTCTTTCCCAGGGAAAGAAACCCGCTGTGCTTTCGAAAGTTCGGTGCAGCTGGGGTTTGTCAGCCTGATGTCGTCTGCAGCTGCTGGAGACGTGCCACGGACCTGTGCTTCCAGTGCACCCAGGTATAAAGACACTTTGCCAGCAGCTGCGAGCGATAGCACGCAGACTGCAGCCACGACAACATGACCCTGCCGCTTTGAATGGAAGCCAGCATCTGGGGGGGGCGAGTGCGCGCAGATCGCTTTGAAGTATAAAAACCTGTCAAGCTAAGAGCAACAAAGAAAAATGGTTAAGTTGTTGCACAACTGCAGTGACACAAGGTGATGTACATCACATTTATCAGAACCATGACACTTACAGTTTAACTTGTTTAACAGCCCAGAATAAAGACAAGGACACCCTTCAACTAGAGGCATAAAAAGCTGTTTGATGTGGGCTCCTGTTCTGCCTTGGCAGTTAGCTCATCTCGAATCTTGCATGTGGCTGCTAGCCGAATGGAAATCGTGTCATGTTTGTGTATGGTACAGTCCGTTTCAGGAGGAAGGAGGACCTCTGTGGACTGGACACCTTATCTCCGATTGACTGAGCAGTTCCTCTAAGAGCTCTATGTTGCTGTCCCAGTGACACAACAGCCCTCCTCTTTAAGATCTAGGGATTGCAGCACAAATAAAAGCAGAAGTACGCACAGGAGTTGTCTATGTCACTCCTAGGCCAAACTCAAAATCTTAAGACCACAGAAACATGAACAAGAGCAAAAGGGGCTGATGACAGGCTCAACCGCTCGGTGAAATGAGGCTACTATCTGGCATTCTAGGAACAAAATTCTAAACCAACAAGCCTCTTCAGTGACTTAGGTCTTTAAAAAGCTGACATTGTATTCCAGATAAGAAAAATACCAAATAGTGGGGCCTTTTCTGTTTATATTTTCCCTTTATAAAAAGACATACTCTGGCCCTATACAACATACTGCAGGGTTAAAATGCATGATGCAATTTTGCATAAGAGATTTGCATGAATTCAGCACTGAAGGCTAGTCTGCCAAGCTAAAGTACGCCATTCTGCTGGGCTTCAGCAAATTCAGACGGAAAATCATCTTGCGTGGTATTTAGTGGAACATAACGTCCCAAAAATTCCACCGATACCTCACAATAATAGCAAAACTGAAGACTACAAACCATTACATCACTGCGTTGCATCAATACTTGTTCATACTACCACTTCTTGTTCAAGTGTTTAAATTTACTGTAGACCCAGAGTGGCACAGAGGTTTGCCTTGCTGCCTCACAGCAGTGGGGCCCCGGACCTGGGGTAGGTCTGGGGTGCCATCTGCATGGAGTTTGTATGTTCTTTCCAGGTTCAAGTGGGTTCCCTCCGGGTACTCCGGTTTCCTCTCACATTAGAAAAATGTACTGGTTGGTCAAATTACTTCTGAGAAAATTAGCCCCGGCATGCATATGTTTCCTGTAATGGACTGCCATCCCATGCAGGGTGTATCCTGCTTGTGCCCGTTGCTTGCTGGGATAGGTGAGCACCCGTGACCCTGTAGTTGGGTAAAGCAGTTAGAAAATGGGTGGGTGGATGTTGGACTAAATTCGACTGCAGCTAAAGCCTGTGCATGTTGGATAAGGACTATACCTAAAAGCATTGTGTACTGTAGCATTGTGTACTGTAGCACTGTAGCATACAAATACTGTAGCATTTACACCTTGACATTTTTCTAAAATGACCCATACCAACCCTCTCATTTCTGATTAAGTGTTCCTTTCCTCTTACTATTTTAAGACATTCGCACATTAAAGTCATTGATACAAACAGCCAATTGTTAATGTACTGACATGGACAGGTTTTCCAGTTACAGAGACTTCATTTCATAGGCACAAGAAATACCACTACTTCTGCAATTGTATTCAGAAATGTACACACTGTCATTACTGCTGTTTAACTACCCCTGAGATAAAAGAGAAAAGCACTGAACTCAAGGCTAGGACTAGCTAGTTTACAGACACCCAGCCCCTCACAGAGTAATGATGCCAATTCACTTTAAAACGTAAAACACCAGAAGAATGACAAATGCATTAAGGTTTGTTGTTGAGGGCACTCTCAACAAACTTGACAAACCTATACACATACTTTTGACAAAGCTTCTCGGGACTGAAGAACCTTGCCTTGCCTTTCACATTTATATATCAAAGATAAGCAAGTGTGTGTGGTTTAGAGGGTTAAAGAAGACAGAGTCCTTCAGCACATGATGTCATACCATCACATGCAGAGTGCAGAGGTCAGGGCAGGTTCTTGGACAGTGGATGTGTCTGCACAAGAGGTTATTAGCCAGGCAGCCCCAGTTACAGCAATGCTGATGGGACTGCTGCTGTCACTAGTAGATTACTTTAAGCCACGTCCAAATGAGAGAACTGTCAGCCCAACAACCCAGATGCATTTTAGATCTGATAAGTCGCATTCCTTCGGCTTTCAAGCACATCAACAATAATGCATGAAGAAGAGAGCCTTGCAGTGAATAATTACATACAGTAGAAAGAAACAAAATGCTCACTTTCCAAGATCAGCAAGTTACACAACTTTTTCCTTCCAGGTTATCAGGTTACCACACAACAAAATGAATTGACTTCATATGATACCAATGAGTCACCATCACAAAAATCCCACAATTTTAACACTCCATCACCACAAATGAAAGTAGTAACTCCTGCAAGAAGCAACATGTTAGAGAAAATTTTCATGATACAGAAAATATTCTGCTTTTGTTCCCAAGTGCTTTGGTGTCCAATGAGCAGATGCGTACTCTGGTTAGGTTTAATGTTTAGACCACACTCAATGGGTGTTCGAAGCGTATGCTATATACTGTATGTAACACTGAAGCTCAGGTATAATTCCATTACCCTGAGCACTTTCCCTGAAAGCTCCAAGATGTATTTTTTTCCTAGATTTTAGGGTTATTTTTTTGTAAAAGTACCATACAGTAATTCTCCTCATTAAGCTCACAGAAAAATAAAACACATTTCTACCACATAGTAAAGAATTGTAAATCTTTGACTTTTAATTAATAGAAAAGATTCATAAGAGATTACAGTCTACAGAATCTCCTTTGCAGGCCGAAGTTGGAGTTAAGAACCATTAAAGTTCAAGTCTATTTTTTTCGGGGGAGGGGGATGCACACTACTCACAGGCACAGCTAGCGTGCCCTCAGCTACACCAAGGTGCAATTCAGGAGGAACAGAACTTAAATTGTTCCACAAACCAATAAAAACTAGAAAGGAATGTGTCTAGAACCTTCTGATTTAGAGATGGACTGCACCACTTATTTCCACACAAGGATCTAATGGGTTATTAATAAAGCTGTATATGGAAACAAGACAGTGTGGCCCTCTGCCAACTTTCCATACACATCTCTTCTCCCTTCTCACAAGGGAAATGGAGTTGAGGCCTAAGCCAAGTGCTGCCCAGAAATACTGGAGTATGTTTTGAGACAAACAGTGCTCTAAACTCACACAGAGAAAATCGGGGTTGTTGCAGTCTTGTGATGAGGGTAATTAATACATTTATTTTACCATGGAAAGCTATTTGATATTTATGGATAAAAAATAAACAAGGAAAAACGAGAGAGGATCTCAGATTAATGTGCGTTTCCAGAGAAGCACAGAGCTACTGTACTTTGTAAAAAAAAATGAAAACAGTAGAGGCCCAATCTAATTTCTGCAGCTTCTTCAACAAATACTTGACTAACCACTGGATCCTCTAGGATGTGAATCAAACAGGCCTTTTTTAGCAATTCAAAAAATGCCTTAGGGCTGTTTTCCTAATATTGTTTTCAGAGTAGAGCGTTTTTTTCTTTTAATTACAAAATTGAATCAATGATCCCATACCCCAATTCAAAACAAACTTCAGCTAAATTTTCAAAACCTAGCCTACGTCAAAAAAAAAAAAATCAACGACATTCTGTTGGCCTAATCCAGGGAGGCCTCACTTAGGTAGATTAACTGTACAAAACTCCTGAGGCTTAATTGTTTAGTGTTCTTTGGCTGATGGCAGGCACTATTTTACAAGAATACAAGTATAAGCTCCATTGTCACAATGTGACCTAAAAGCTGAACTTGAAATGCAGTTATTGCTTAACCTGTTGTAGGAAAATAAAATGTCACGTGCAGTTGCAGTCAGATTGCTTTCAAGTTAAAAACATCTTCACCCTCCAGGCCTAAGTGCGAATACACCCATCAGTTCATGATCTCAGTGATGCAATACTGACTCCCAGTGCCAAACTGAACAATTTAACCCCTTAACACAATTTCTCCCCCTCAAAATTACACAGCAGCACAAATAATACGTCCCCTTCCAACATAGCCTTCATCCTCGGAGCTGAAGTTCCCATTTTGAAATAGCGGAAAACTATACTTGGGCTCAACAAGTGTCAGGGTTACACAATATTTGGCAATTGATACCCATCTCATCTTTAAAAAAAAAAAAGAACAACTTTTTCCTCACCACTTATTCTAACATCTGTTGTTAGCTCTCATCTATACCCACACACAGTCCTTCTGAATTTCAGCAGTGTCGGATCTGCAGGTGGTGTCATCTCCATCCTGTTCAATTTCCAAATTATCAAGTGGAACAACTCTTTCATCTGTCTTTTCTGCCTGCTAGACCCAATTACCTTGAATTAACTGACCTGATCCTTCTTTTATACTGTAGATTGTAAAGCAGACCGTCTCTGGTTCATATCCTTGTATTTCCGAAATCAGCATCAAATTCCTTCCTTACACTGAAAATGCTCTGTTTTTTTAATCAAATGTCACTAGCTGGTTTGTACAGTACTAACTGCTCATATTAGAATGACGTTTAACTTTCAAAAAGCTTTATTGCAACTTTCCTGTCTTTGGTCACTTTCCTTCTTATCACAACATAGCATCCGAATCACTTGCTTTTTTAATGGGGGCCTTCTAAACCACAAAATAAAGTACAATAAACAAAATGCTTCCTAATCCCAATTGATAATCTGTAGGATACTAACCTGTTCACTCCTTTCAGTCGTTGTAAAAGTCTAAAAGGTAACACTTCAATCGTTTAACAGGCGATAATAAAAGTTGTAAGTCACTGCATTCATCTAATTGGTGTAGATCAAGAACTGTTCATTGAAGTTAATTATAAAATGAGAAATTTTCTGCAACTGGTCACCGGAATTACTTCAGAAAGGACTATAAACTGCACATAATTCAGTTCACAGTTTCTATAATTCATATTCATTCGTTGAACTTCTCACCTGTAGAAAACGCAGCAGGTCAAAATGCTGACGGTTTCTGCCTGTCTGTACATCTTCGGAGGTTAAGGGTTTGTTATTTTACACCACTGCACGATTTAAAAAAAAACGTGCATCACAAAAACGGTTCGTGGATTCAACAGACGGCGTGGAGACTAATAGATGCCAATCTCAAGGGCTGTTGTTGGATCCAGCGTGTTTGTTTTCGAGAACAAAACCTGAAAAGGGCCGATTCTTTCTTTTTTTAAAAAACATGGGCACCTCTCGCGGAATGACCCGCTTTAGGTCGAACGGGTTTCCTGTTTTATTTAAACAGATACAAAGTAGCAACTCCGTTTCGATAGGCAGTTGGTATCTCACCGGATTTGAAGCGTAGCCCCACGTAACTCACCTCCCTCATCCTGCCCTAACTGCTCACGTTGGAAGGGGGCAAAGACTACTTTAGACTCAGGGCTCTGCCGTTGGGAAAGGGCCTCTGCAGCACTAGAAATATGTTGCTAAACCACGTTCCCATGCTAAGAATACATTGCAGGATCTGCAACTGTTCATACTTTGGTGCAAAAATATTTAATCCCAAAGAGCTACCTATAAATGCACTAGAAAAAAACACGTTGCGGAAAAAAACAGGTATAGTCTCCTAACTGTATACTGTAGTCTCGTACGGTTTCATAGTTCTGGGAAACTGTTCTCATGTTTCTAAGTTCAACAACACCATAGGCATGACTGTGATTATTTCGAAAGGTTTCGCTTTTACTAAAGTATGTACAAATGCGACGTTTTTCCCCTTTTAACTACCTTTCCCGTTTGATTTTTTTTTTGTTTTGCAGGATCATCCGTCTTTCGTGGGTATGTCATACCGTCCTTCCTCATTAGCTCTCTAAGCAATTTCAGTGTTAAAAACATAAAATTAGAGAAGTCCCTTTTAAAGAACATATACTTACACGATCAAACAGCGATCCAACATTAGCAGTTACCAGTAACACGTCTGTGCACGTCCCCATGATAGAGCTCGGATTCCACAATAAACTGTCAAAATTATTTACAGGTGCGCTGTGCACCTCAGGAGAAGACACGGAGAATCACAAAGATCACGGTGTCCACAGTTGCTTTAAAGATACATTGGATTCTTTCGTCCCGAAAGCGTGTCTCTGTCTTTTGTGATCATTTTCTCTTCAGCGGTCTAAAAGTTGAAACGTTCCTAACTTCGGCGGCACTGCGGTATTTCTACCGACTGGATCCTTCGAACTCAAAGCCGACTCCTCCAGGAGCCCTCTTGCAGGCTCGGTATTAGCAACGCAACGAAATCTTCTTTTCAGTGCATGATAAGCAGCCTAAGGCTTAAACAGAATTAGTTGACACAATGTAAGTACTGAGGGAGTCGTTTAGTTCCTGCCCTGCCTAGCTGCAGTAGTTGCTACTGTAATGTTTTTATGAACTCGATTAAGCTCCGCCTAGTTGACAGTACAGCACTTAATCGCATTTAAACGGCGCCTTTTCCGTAGGACAGCCTGGGAGATGGGTTGCGCGCAGCTCTTGTAAAATAAAACAAATCCATCGTGGTGATAAACGACTGGATCAGATGGGTACCTCTGTCATGAAGACGTTTCCAGAAAGCCTGACAAAGTACCTCTCCGGGGGTCTAGGAATCCTCTATTTCAAAAGTCTGAAGAAAAGCCTCGACGCCCATATAGAACTGTAATTTTGTTGAATTATAACAGTTTACAGTACGTACACACTCATGCAAAATTAATTTAGAAACATGAAATCGATGACTATGGCCTTTTCCTCGAGATCTGCTTGGGTTTTACGAGAGGGGGCAACTACCCGCTGTATTTCGAAGCTCTCGACGATCTCGACGCAGGGTAAAAAGTCAACCGCGGTATAGTAAACCTGTTAATGCACAATATAAAATGATCGAGATTACAAGTGGGGAATTAGCCGTTTACGTGTATGTAAGAGAGCAGTCCTTTTGAAACGTGAAGCACGAAGGAGGTCCAGTCCAGTCGGGATGTTTTTCAAAGTGTAAAATAGAGGGGGGAGGAATCATGCAACTGTACATAAGTAAGATTTCAGTAGGGCTGACAGGTTGAGAAGCTCTACCGTTTCTCCCTCCTGCTGCATTTGGGTTAATGTGAAAATGTTGCTGCCAGTGTACACGATACTGTAGTAGCAACTTTAAAAGCACCGGAGAAGACCGAACACATGCTTTTGAATCTTGGTTCTGTTGGAGCTTGACTGCAGACTCTAGCATGAGATTTTCAGCAGATTGTTGAATCATTGACCAGCACTTTGAGTCTGTTTAAAAAAAACACAACACTGTTTTAAAATCAAATCAACCCAATCAGGTTATGTGAAATTGGCATTTGAATAAAACTGTCAGCTCAGGCTTTTTGAAGAAAATTCAGTCACTCCCTACCACACATGCGTGGTGTTCCCTCAAAGTGGGAGAGGGTGTGGCAGTTGTGGTCAAGCTGGCCTGGAACATGAAGCAACAGCCACCGACTCCGTTCTCTTGAGTACTATAATGAAATCTCGGCTGGATATCAAGAGGATCTGGACCATGGAGAGCAAACTAAATCCTTAATGCAGCAGCTTTTCTGGATTTATTTAGTACATCAGTTAAAGAGGGATTAAAGAGTTAGAAAAGCAGAAGGACCACAGATCCCCAGAACTGGACATGGTTCCTCCCTACCCTCCTAACCCGATTGAACTATGAAACTGAAAAAGATTGTTCTCACACAACTGGGGTTTAGTTGCACCATGAAGACCCATCTAGCTGTGAATATTGCATTGCACAAGGCCCATTATAAAACGAATGTGGGCCAAGTTAGGATCCACCCAGTCAGGTGTCCTGAAGTGAGCATACTGTAGGTTGTTCAACAACCCGATCCCGAAAGGAATGATTTTAAAGCCCAGAGAAGAGAATTCTCAAGTAAGGAGCAGTCAAAAAAAAAAAGTTGTGCACAACCATCACTGTGCAAGTGTTAAAAAGCTCTCTGGAGCTCGATCATTTTTAAAAGGTGGAAAGTAAATGTCACCATTCAAAAATCTTGGCCCACACACAATGCAACTATACATTCATTAAAGCCGCCTTTGAAAGCTGGATTTACTCAGGGGGCCAGAGAACTTCCAGTAAGTAGAGCAAACATTGGCAGTGGGAAGATAACAAGCAGCATGGTTTACACAAAGCTCTTTCGCCACTATTCGCCCTGTTGTGCGTCTCCACAGGGCTTACCAAGGAGCTCATTCTAAATACTCTTGCTAGGAAAGTGCCAATACGCACTCGTGTAGAAATGAATGCAAAACAGCATACTTCCAGAGATCCATTCTTTCCTGTTCTGATGACCAAATTTGAAGCAATTAATCTCATCAGAAGAACTTAGAAAACTAAGAGGGCATTCTCAGACCTCTGTGTAGTATTGTCAATACTGTGCTGAGAATGGGCCTTGTTTATTGTATCCTCAAAAGGATCTGCAGCACCTAAACACATCCAGTTTTAGAAGCCTGGATGAGCAACAGTTTTGTTAGGTACTTTTCAACTAGTGCAGAAACAACAACAGGGTTTTCAAAATTCAAAGATGGAATTGAAACCCAAAGACCCCGCAACTCTGATCTACCTGAGATGGCCATCAGTGTTCTAAATTGCTTAAGGAGCCGAGACCTACAGAACATTTTAGCTTGGACTATTAATAAATTCATTTTGTCTCAATAATTCAAAGTCCTGCTGGACTGAATTTATTTTAGAATACCCTACAGCTCTCTGGGGAAAAGTCACTTGATCACAATTGATAAGCACCCACAGTGTAAAGAGATACTAAGGAAACTTCCTGGAAGGAAGGAAACTGATCGCACAATAAAAGCGGCCCAAGATTTCTGGTTCTCAAAGCAAAATACCATTTTACGTAAAGTTCTTCGCAGGGTAAGTGAATGGTCATCTAGTCAAGTGTAGCACTATACCAAGTATTTTACAATGTAGTGAGAAAGGTTTTATTTAGGTACTGAAAATGTAAAAGGTTTGTGGTGCATGCACTTTTAAAACCTCCTTTTCCATCTTCAATCCCTGTAAACAAGAAAGAACAATGATACAAAGAGAAGAGTAGAGATGGGAATCCCTTTCCCTCTGCTTGGGAATGCTCAAAAGTGCATTTTACAAGTATCTGGTGAACATCATTTTACGACATTAATGCAGGTTTGCAATGTCAAAATTTGCCAGTGAAGTACAGTACATACCTTTACCACCCACCTGATCAATAGATATGATGCTACTGTTCTTCAAGCTTTGTGCCTAAGCTGATGTTTAAGCAAATAATGCTTATTAAAGGATGTTCACAATTGAGTAATTGTAATTAACTGAATTTTATTCTGAAAGCCATTTGGAGTGTGCTTACATTGCACTTTATCTGGGAATGAAGTCAATCGCTTTTGGTCTGCAAGGATTCTGAAGTCCCAACCCTCCAAATTATTTTGATTTGGCATGTTTAAAGTCAGCATTTCTTTAAAATGCTAAGTTCAATATACTTCTCTAATTATCCTAGTTAAGAACTAATGAATTTTCAAAGGAAAAGGGCTTTGAAAATGCTCTTTGTAATCCTGGATCTGCGTTATTGCAAAACATCCATGTCTGACAAAGCCACAGCCTGATGGATCTCGCATGACTCCAACCCAGAATAAAGCCAGTGTACAGCATACTGTACGTGCTGTCAATTTGACATTTCTCAAATCATTTAAAATACCACCTTTTCAGAAGCCACCCATCATGCTTTTTAGTGTATATTTATAAAGGCTCCCACAATCTTTTGTATTAAGTGCCTCCTGCTCTCAATGTTAAATGTACTTCAACATCACCACTGCTCACATTATATTGATCAAGTAACCATCAAGTGGTTTTAAAACCAGAATGAGCAGAGATGGCATGTTTGTCAGCTTGCAAACCTGGATGTCAAAGTCATAACCTTCTTAAAGCATTCTCTCAGCCAACTTCAAAATGCACACTATCCACAAATGTAAGCAGATCACATAAAAAGTAAATAACCATCACAAAAGGCTATGCACATTCAGATGTTGGATACTGGTCATCACAGATGAAAAGCAGGGCAAGGCTATAGCATTTCAGTTTTTCAGCTGTTCCTTCGGAGATGAAGCTATAATTTCCAAAATAAATCCTTGCATCTCAACTCACCCAAGAAATACAGGATTGTTTTTGTTATGGATTACTTTAATCTGAGTCTGAAGAAAAAAACAGCTTCTGAAGTATACAAATACATTTGAACATGAGCGCCATTTAAAATGCATTGGGCTTGGTTGTGACTGCAATGTTTCCACAGGACTCCACACCAGATTCCAGGCCTCTGCAGCACAATCGGTCTTCATTACCTACCCAGATCTGCAGTACTAATCCTCATCATTTCTGCTGCACTTCACATTGCAGGAGCAAAATAACAGTTCCTTGTGTTACGGCAGCTAAAATCAAATGGCTTATTTCACAGGGAATACGGCAAAATCTTCTGCTACAGATCACTTGCCTTCACCTACAACCACAAATTTAAGAGCTGCTTCAGATTTGGGGCTCCTTGGGTTGTGGTCGGTTAACCGCACCAGGAACGCGGCAGATGCACATAATGGAAACACACACATACTGACCACCCAAAAAAGTTATAGCTTGCTGTGAATACTAATCAAAAATCTCACACCAACTTGAAGAGGAGGAGCTGCTCAGTGCAGCTGGACGCAAAGCAGAGGAATGGTGTTTCAGCAGATCACCGAGGTAGGATCAGTTGTGGTGGAGATCCAAAGACTAAAAGTGGCAGAAACCCCAGAGTTGGTACAGAAACATGAAAGAGTCTGACGACCACAACCACAAATGGTTACAAATGAAACGGGCGTGCAAACGTCAAACCACGACCATTGCACAAGTTTCTTTCGAAAGAGCGAACATGTAGAATGTTGTCTTTCATCCTTCATATTAACGCTGTATTGCAAACTTCGAGAGCGACAACAGAAAGATTTATAGAACGGATCCTGGAATACAAAAAATCTTAAACCCTATACCAGCTGGTATAGATATGTAAAAGCCAAGTGTGAAGGGGGAGGAAAAGGGGACCTGTAAAGAGAAACATACTTGCTAATAACAAAAGGTTAACATACCACTATAACCAGCAAAAAGACAACATTGTGGATGTCAAATAAAAAACGCCTTCTTTACTCCAGAGTAGCTCCTGTATTTTCATTCCTGTGCGTACAATGCTTAAAACAATAGGTGGTTATAAAAAAATTAAAATGGTAAGAAAACTTAGAAACAAACCAAAAAACAGGACTACATGCAAAAACTTGGTGCCGTGACCAACTCATGCAGTTATTACCAATGCATCTCCAGCAACTACTGCCACCTGTTTAACTAGACAGGATGTCTCCTTTAATTTTCCCCAAGTATCAGTAATGACAAGTATAATAGTAGAATAATAAGCATAATCGAGTGAACAAAAACAAAAGTCATGATGTTCAAGAAAAAAAAAATGTACGTAACAGTCTCACTCCCCAAGACCGGATCAATTTTGCATCTAAAAAAAAACAACAGCATTCTTCTGTGCAGATGTATGTCATAACCCTGCTGAAAAGTTTACCCTCTCTACTTCTACCCCTTTTCTCTAAAGCAAACCATGGAAGGCAATCAGAGGTGTGTCCGTGTTCCTCAGTCTTCTCTAACAAAAGGCTCTCGCTTGGTGTTTAAACAAGCAGTCTTCATGGTACTTTTGCAGAAGTAGGCTCCCAAGCCATTCAGGATATGGCCGGGGCTGTAGCCAGTGTTCCAATGAGAGACAGGGCAATATTCCTGTGTTCCAGCAATCTGGAATGTGCTGCAGTATTCCCAGATCCCTCTCTGCCATGTGTTCCCATCCCAATCCGCCACACTCTCATGAACGGCTGCGATCCTCCTGGTTCCCAACAAGCATTTTGCTGTACAGCTTCTGTTGTTCCTCCTTGAAAGTCTCTTTAACCTTCCCCCGCTTCAGTCCTCCATCCCTGCAGCAGGAGAGACACAGGCACACATCAGAGCACTGTCATGGCCCCTCAGTCTCACTTCAAACACCGACGGATGTGATCTAAACACCAGCAGAATACCTCTCGTCTTGACTCATGTAGACATCTCTGGCTTCAAGTAGATAGGGAACCCCAGTCCCAGAACAGCTTTTCACAACTCATGTCCTCTTAAAGATCACTTCTGCTTTGGTGCACACAACCCCCAAAACAGATGGAATCACAGAGCAGAAAGTATACCTCTGGGGTCATGTAACTCATATTTTCCACCAAAAGCAAGGTGGGCAGACCAGCAGAAGGTATTTCAGAAAAAAAATCTGTAGTGTTTCACATGCAAGAATATTTGCTTTTAGTTTTTCAAATTGCAAAAAATATTTGGAGTCCTACTGTACATTCAAAACAGTTGAGCGGTTCAATATCCACAATGTATCATAGTATTTTAAAATTGAGTTTTTAAAATTGGATCTTTAGTTTAATCAGCCTTGGAGTGATGAAATTAGCATGCAAGCAGTGGGAGAAAATCAGTAAGTCAGAGTGAGAGACTGGGAGGGACAAGGTGAAAGACTGAATAGGGAGTGATACTGTTGGCCAAAGTGGATGAAGGTATGAGGTGGATTAGGAAAGGAAGAGTTTGTGAGGAGAGGCTTACAGGATAGGGAATGGGGAAGAGAAAGAGTGAGTAAAAATGATCATGCGTTAGTTTCTCTTGCACACGGACGCTTGTGCATGAGTGTTCTCACCACAGCAGGTCCACCAGCCCCCCCTTCCTGGCGATAGCTGCCTTCACTCGGTTGGCGAACTGCACCGCATCTTCTCCTTCCTGTGCAACAGAGGAACACACTACTATCACCAAGAGGCAGGAGCTCAGACGGCCACCATTAAACACATGTAGCACCACTGACTTCTAGCACTCCTCAAAAGGGCAGTTTCGCTACAAACACAGTGGCGTAGGGCATGTCTCTTCATAAGACCCATCAAAACCTCTTTGTTCCCCTGCTCTTCAGCATCAGTCCTGCTTTCTCTCCCTCACACATCTGATCTCTCTTTCTGCTGAAAACACTGTACTCCACTGGATCTCAACTTTTTTTTTTGCCAACACAATGTAAAGTTTAAATAAAACATAAGCAATCATCCCACTTCTTTTTCCCCTCCCAATCTGGACTGGAGATTCCTAAATCTGACTCGGAGCAGTATCCCATCTCGGAGAGCCCACTCTGCATGCACTCACATACACAACTGCCGGAAATGAGAGAGAACGAGCCCGTGCCTGCCGTCCTACAAACTCTTCACAGCAGTATATGCACATGGCTACCACCTGCGGTCTGATTCCATTAGAAGAAAAGGTTTAAATATTCAATATTAGGAGAATGTTGAAGTCACAAATATAAGAATGCATACATGTGCCCAGCTTTGACTTACAATGTCATTTGGAAAACAAAAAGTAAGGTGAATGTTAAGAGACAAGCAAAGGCAACTGTTGTCACAAAATACCCTGAGGTACTGTGTAAAGAGTCTTGCATAATACTAATATACAGTGCCTTGCGAAAGTATTCGGCCCCCTTGAACTTTTCAACCTTTTGCCACATTTCAGGCTTCAAACATAAAGATATAAATTTTTTATTTTA